GACGCTTTAAGTCGCACCCGCATTCATAATATTTTTTATTTTTGGCGCATTCACGAACCCGCACTCGCACTCGCATTTGTTCGCGCATCCGCTTGATGTGATCTAGGATTAAACTAATTTCTGAACCGGAATTAACCAACATTCGCCCTCTTGATTCCGGTCTTCATTCTTGCCAAATCTTCAATGCCCATCAGTTGCCTCATCTCGATAAACTTGACCCTTCATCTCGATAAACTTGACCCTCGGTAATGCTTTAGTCAAGATATCAGCTTTCTGCTCTTCACCACTTAAATGCTTGATCTTTACTAGCTCTTTCTCAACACATTCACAGATGAAATGATACCGAGTTTCAATCTACTTACTTTTCCCATGGAACACTCGATTTTTCATTAACATGATTATCTACATGAAGTATTATGGGTTTCATCCTTTGACCAGTGATTTCTTCATGCAAGCCTTTTAGCCAAGCGGCTTGACATGCTTTCACCATTGCTGCCATGAACTCAGCTTCACATGAAGATAGTGCAACTGTATTATGCTTTTGGCTGCATCATGCTATCAGACCACCCCCATAATAGAAAATCATCTGAGTTGTACTCTTTCCATAATTCCATCCGCTCGATCCATCGTATGTGATTGTGAGCTATCACTATAACCAACCAAATTTGCATAGCCGTTCCTTCTTTACTGGTTCCCATAATTGATGGTACCCTTCACATATTGCATAACCTGTTTTATAGCTTGCATGTGTGAATTTTTTGGTGACTCCATGACATAGTTATCACGGCGTCAAGGTGAGGCACGTTTCCAATGGCTTGCCAGGACGCCTAGTTGGCTAAGTGGATGCCTAGGCTAAATATAAAAATAATGCTGTTAAAATATACATACATATGTATGTATGTGTGTGTGTGCGTGTGTGCGTGTGTGTGCGTGTGTGCGTGCATGCGTGCGTGCGTGTGTGCGTGCGTGTGTTTTATATCTCAGCTCCGGGTTTTATAGTTAAAACCTCTTTATTTGCAGGGAAGGGGAGATAATCGATTGTCCTGAGTGGATAATCGATTGTTAAGGGCTTCAGGTTCTTGGGCAGTTTTTCTGGGGATGTTCTGGGAGGGGGGGGATAATCGATTTACAGAAGATGTGAATCGATTATTGAGAAGTGCAGGTTTCTGGGAAAGGCTGATAATCGATTGTCTGAAAGTGATAATCGACTATTGAAGGCTGAAGATGTTTCACGAGGGATAGATAATCGATTTCTAGTAGCAATAATCGATTATTTGACAGTTTTCTGGGCAGGAAGAAGGGTGATTTTGTGGGGGAATGGACTGGAAATATATGGAGTTGATGAGGGAGTTCTTTTGGGTATTTTAATGGAAGAAAAGAGTGAGATTAAGAGGAGAAATGGGGAGGTATGAAATGGAAGAAAATCAGGGATGGATAAACCAAGTTGGTGTTTAAGAGATATTACACACTCTTATCCTAACTTGGGGTTTGAATCTAGAATTTAATTAAGATATGACACACTTAATCAAATATCTAGAACCTAAAACTCACACTTAAGATAACCACTCTTAAGATATAGAATTAGGAATTT